ACTTGAATAAATATGTTTTCGAGTCACATAAGCAATTCCGAAAGAATGTTTTCTTAGCCCCTCTTCTGGAACTTTGAATTGTTTTGAGTCAGGTGTTTCCTTTTAGAGACTTTATAACCCTCTTGGTTTGGGTTGCATTAGGATTATTCTTGTTTACGGATCCAAATGCCTCTTTACACTTTGAAAGTCTTTTATACGTTTACTCGCGAGTAGTCGGGTTTTGGTTGATTTCCTCTAAATCATGTTAGATGGATTGTAATGTGATCTTTGTGGAATTTTAGGTTTCATTGGTGATTGAGAATTGGGCGTTGTTTTGCGGTTATAGGTGAGTGTTCCTTGTTTGTTATGTTTCCTGATTTTATGGCTTGTTTGAATGATTGATAACGTGTTAAACGCTTTCAATGATTGCTAAAATGATTTTCGAGGCGAGTGTGTACTTTACCGCACTTAGCCTAAATGATTGTGAAATTTTAATGATTGAGCGATTGAAATGTTAATTGTGCATGAATGTAGGCCTTCGGGCTGAACTGGCCATTGCCCCTTGTTACCGGTCGTCTCGAGCCAGTCGGACTCGGTCGAGCGATTAGGAACTTGGGTGAACGATCCGGTATACTCGAGTATTACCCTGTAGGTTGGTGGAGCCTGGCCAAAAGCCAGGGACGGGTGTGAAATGAAATGAATGAACGAGGGGTTTTACTTATACAAAATGCATTTTCAAATGATTGAAGAAGGAGAATGGAAGGAGAATGAATGAATGAATGAATGAACGATTGGCTCCTTGTGAGCCCGTATCCTTTTAATGAATGTGTTTATCGCTTTATTGTACTTGTATCGTGAATTGTTGTTTACATGCATTTGTTTCTCTTGTTGCCTATGTGTACGGAACCTCACTGAGCTTTCCAGCTCATCCCTTTAGTTTTTGTTTTCCTTAGCAGGGGAAGACGTGCGAGGACGGAAGCTACGAATAGATTAGCCGTTTTAGTACTTTGGTTTCTTTTGTAAAGGTTCTCGCCCTAGTGCTTGGCACGGGCTGGTTGTATGGTGAATTGAGAACCTATATTTTGACAGTTGTACTTCCATTGAGATAGTAATGTATATAAGTTTACGTTTAAGTTTGGATTTATTGTTATTTCGATTGTTTTGTGGATTTTCTTGTCTTTTCTTATAGTGACTGACTGAGTCCCTGCGAGAGCTGGGCAGGCGGTCCGCCGATACCCTGGGGTACGCCCTAGGGAGAAGTGGGGCCGTTACAAATTGTCTCTCTTAAGCAGTTAAATATCTATTACTCCTCTAATCATCTCTTACCAACTTTTGTCACGTAATTTCTTTTGCACAAAACTTCTTCTAGTCGTTGAAATTTACCGCACTAACCGTACTAGCGGGTCCCACGTTGATAATACACTTCAAACTTAACGTGGACTAACTTGTATCAAGGAAATGATTTGAAAACTATATTTTCTTATAAAAAATGTATAAGAAATTAATATATTGAAGAAAGGTACAAAATTATAGACAAGAAAACAAAATAACGTCTAGAAAATATATAAAAAATTTTCGGGTTCTCACACTCATTCTTTCGGGGCGTCACAAACATTCTTTTGTATAGCTCATCAATGGACGGAAACTGTGTATTTTGATCCAACCTTCCCTTTTGAATTGTAAATTTGAAACCATGCTTGTCTAAACGTGTTTGGTAACGTTTGTATGTTATTTTGACTTGTAAGTGTCTAATTTCAAGGTTTGTATGATTTGTTGGCGTTTGGTTGGATTTCGGACAGGTTCGGACTTCAAACGGCAAAAGAAAAAATTTTGGCTGGAAAGGACAGAGGCGAATCCGGCCAGAACTTGGCTGGATTGCCTTGGGAATTTTGGATCTGGCCAGTTGCTTTCTGGCCTGAATCCGGCCGGATTGTGACGTGGCCGTCACTGTTCATGTGCGGCTCCGATTTTCATTTTTTTCGTTTTGTGATTTTGATTCGTTTGAGCGCGCTATCACCTTCCGGATTATTTTATATTGTGTTTAACTGCCTCGTTAGTCCTGGCAAGAGTTGGACAGGCAGTCCGCTAACCCTTTTGGTACGCCTTAGGGGAAAGTGGAGCTGTCACAGGTAGTATCAGAGCCTAGGTTTGAGTTAGCCTGGATACATTAGAAACTTCCGACTTGAGGATTATACTTGGTTATGTCCCTTAAGAGTATTTACGTTTACTTACACTTTTGTGTAGGATGTACGGACATAGTGGCCCTAGTAGTAGTCCAGCTGGTGAGCGACCCCATGGAGTACTCCCGACGATTAAGTATCAGATTCGGCCAAGAGGAGCCGTTGTACGTTGGAGTCCGGCTAACCACCATCGGCATTGTGAGTGCCACAACACCTATGCCTATCCCAATACAGTCGTCCTGGCCATGGTGGAGAAAAGAAAGGAATTGGCAAAGGACAATGCTAGGCTCGAAGCGGAAATAAATCAACTAAGGGAAGCTAATAAGAGACAAGTTGAGCGGATCAAGGAGCTTGAGTACGACGTGGTTGAAGGCCAGGAGAGAGTAGACGACCTTTGTGCACAACTTGGAGAGGCGCGCGAGCGCATGGTTAAGAGGGCTAGGAAAGCGAGGGTTAGAGCCGAGTCGATCTTGAACATTTGCGATGACTTACTTGAGGAGGAGAGCAATGAGGTTTCTTTTGTAGGAGGCGGGGTTGGGGGTGAACCCGCCCGGGCTGGTAGGTCCACTAGTCCGACAACGGACTAAGTCTTTACTCTTAGGTCATTTGGATGGTTTGACTACCGTATAAAGAAAGGATCGGGGATGGTAGACCCGGGAAGAACCTTAACTAACCATTTTGTACGTTTGGACTAGCTATGTATATATTACTTTTGATGATGTCGTTCCCTTATGGACTTTCTTTGTTTGTACTTGACTGACTGTTAATGTGTAACTTGTTTGATGCTGTTTTGTATTATGTATATATGCTTTATTATGAAAAGCTTTTGGTTCCTTACTTACATGTATCGTTATCTTTAATGTTATAGTTACGTTTGCCTAGAATGACTAGATTCCATGGAAGGCACTCGTAGTGGTCGGAGCCATGGGCGCGGGAGTAGGCAACACACGTCTGAAAGAGGCACTGGGGAAACCTCGTCTAGACCAAACCCTGAACTTAGGGTTCACCCTAATATCCAAATAGCTACTACCATGCTGCAAATGACTAATTTACTAGCCCAAGTAGTGCAACAATAGGGTCAAAACTCTAACCCCAATCCTGGGAACCCTGGCAACCACGTGGAGAGCGAGGACAGGGCTTTCGAGAGATTTCAGAAGTTTGTCCCACTAAAGTTTGCGGGGGGCCCGATCCTAATGTAGCAGAAAGGTGGCTAGAAAAGATGGTGGACATCTTTGCTACTCTACATTATACGGAGGAGAGGCAGGTGACTTTCGCAGTCTTTCAACTGGAAGGGGCGGTCCGTTCCTGGTGGAACATCATCCGGCAAAAGTGGGAACAGGAGCAAACGCCCAGGACCTGGGTAAACTTTATGCAGGAGTTCAATGCTAAATTCTTCCCTCCTCCAGTTCAGGAATGGAAGAAAGATGAATTTATTCAGCTTCGTCAGGGGGCTCAGTCCGTAGTGGAGTACGAATGTGAGGCCCCAGTCCGTTCTATGTTAATATATTCATTAGTTGGGCGGTAACGTTTGGTTTCGGGAGTATTTCGAAAACCCTAAGTAGGGATTTAAGATTTAAACCCTAGTTATGTATTGGTTACAAGTTCGAGTGGTGATTAAAGTTAGTAAGGTTAATGTGTGTCTTAGTGTGGGTAAGAATAGGTTTAATCCATTTGGTATAGATTAATTAAGTTTAAGAAGGTTAGAAACCCTAAGTGAGCAAAATCTCTAATGTTATGATTTATTAGAAGTTTTAAGTGGGTTTAAACCTAATTTTGCCCTTGACAAAAAGGTTATTGTTTAACTACTTGTAGACACCAAATTTTTAATAATTTTATGTAGCATCTATTTCATGATTTTCATTTTAGATTGTTTTTTCTTGCATTTTAGTTCGTTATTGTGTGTTTTGCACTATTAGTTGTTATGATATTTTGATTTTATTCATTTTCGCCCTTTTAGTTGACCTATTTCATTTGCTATTTATTCTTATTTACTTTTAGTTTTAGTTTTTAGTTTTAGCTTTTAAGATTAAGATTAGCATAAAGTTTTTAGAAAAAAGGAAAGGAAAACGTAAAAATATGTTTTAGTCATTTTGTTTTATTCAATGCTTTCTCGAAAGAAAAATGAAAATGAAAATTATAAAAAAAAAAGGAGAAAAAGAGAAAATTAAAGGAAAAGAAGAAAAAGAAGAAAATTTAAAAAATAAAAATAAAAATAAATAGGCTTTAGTTGGATTTGAAAAATGAAAAAGGAAAAAAAGGAAAATTTGCTCACAAAAATATGTTTATTTCTTTTAAATTCAGCTTTTTGGCATTTTTAAGTTATTTTTAAAAGAAAAAAGTGAAAGTGAAAAATGAGAAAATGAAAAAATGGAAAATTGCATTTTTGTTGTTTTTAGTTTATTTTTTATCTAATGTTAATTAAGTTGTTTTCATCATTAATTATTATGTTTTATTATTATCATTTTTGTTGTTTAATTAATTAATTTAAAATTTAATTTAAAAAAAAAAAAAAGAACAACAACGTCACGGCATGCACGCTGCAATTTTTGCAGCGTGCAAAGGACAATCTCAAGAGCCATCGGATGGCTGGATGGAAAGGGAAGGATAAGCTCTTCATCCTCACCATCCAAGAGAGGGTTTACGATTGGAGCTCATATAAAAAGGAACAAGAATCAGCAGCCGCAAGAAGGAGGGAGATAGAGAGCACGGCTGGAAAAATTCTGAGGCAAACAGAAATCAGAGAGAAGGCAGCCGACAGAGAGAGTTTTTTTTGGGAGATAGAGAGAGGGATAGGATCGGAAAGAAAGACCAGAGAAAGAGAACGGATGACAACGGAGAGAAAGTTTTGAGAGTGGCGGCTGAAAAATCTTGAGGAAGTAGAGAGTGTGTATGCGAGACGCGTAAAAGAGAGAAAAACAGCAAAAGAAAAAGAGTCTGACTTAGGGTTGCAAGAGGATGACTGAATCATCATCATCGCGTTCCGTTGGCGTGACTTTGAAGTTCTGGTAGAACCATCCGAACCTTTTCTCGGGCATCCCCCGCCTCGCTTGGTGATTAAGGTATTATCTTCATCTTTTATCAGTTAGATACCATCAGATTTGGCTCAGAAATGTTGAGATATTTCCTGTTACGTTTTGGGGTCGTTTTTCTCTTTCCTTCATGGTTGTTCCTCCTGTGCATCCAGTTGTTCAAATCTGTTTGAGATAGAAAATCAGTGAGTAGTGGACAGGGACAGCAACTTGGATTTCTTCGTGAGGTTATATCATGAATTCGTGAGCTCATGACTGACCCACATGTGTTTGAATCAGCAAAATCAGAATATGACATGAATTTTGGCAGTATTTCCTGTTTGACTTGCAGTAGTTTTGGAGGTCCTTGTTTCGCTTACCAGTTTTGTTTTGAGCATTTGGTTTGTTGTTGCAGTTGGACCTTAGAATGTTTTTTTTTTTTCAAAATGTTGAGCTAGAGGTCAGTAGATGTTCATGTTAGTTTTTGCACTGCCACCAAATCTGGTTGGGTTTGAGAAGAAGGAGAAGGGACTTGGGGTTTTTGACATTTTCCCTGTTTGTTTCGTATACATTATGCTTAAGCCACCAGTTCTATTTTTTCCCAAATGGGTAGATACATGTTCTGGTTTGCAGTCTAAATTCATTAGACTGGTTTGACCAAGATGGATAATGCTGTTTTCCTGATTTTCTGGTTGAGTCTTAGTAGATGTTCAGGTCGCCTTGGCTGCATTTGTGACTGGAAATTATTGGAGTTCTGAAGCTCATGAGTTTATTTCTCTTGCTGTGACCTGCTTTCCTCTGGTGTTTGGGTTGTGTTGTCCATCGTAACTATCTACATTAAAGGAAAAAACTCCGCGCCGCGTTAAATGAAGTTTCAACTGGATTCCTTTGCTGTTTTCTTTTTCTTCCGTAACAGCTCACAAAACTGGTTTTAGTCTTCTTTTGCTAGCTTACTTTGGTGTTGAAGGAATGAAATGGAAGGCTTGGTGTTAATATTTTGTGGTTTGGGTTCAAGAAGAGCTTGCAACATGTCTAAACATTGCTGGAAATGTATAGAGCAGGAATGCCGAACCATGCTGCATTGAATTCTCCAGTATTTGCATGATTTTTCCCTCTATGTTTTGGTTTGTTTGAATGTCAAGATTGTGTTACATGTTGCTTAGATAGGGTTTTGGATGTTTGGTTGAAAAGTTTTGATCAAAAGATTACTTGAAGTGGAAATCAATGTGTGAAAATGCAAGTTGTGCTGATGTTTTTTCGGCTGCAGAAAGCTTGAATCAGAAATATTGCTGGTTGCAAATCATATATCGTAGCTGCATGTTTTGCATGAAATTAACTTCTGAAAATCACACTTTAACCTTTCAAGTTTCCCATAATGTTAATTTGGCCCGAGTATTTGAAAAAGCTAATCAATTGGGTCCCTGTGATTTTTGCAGCAATGCATTATGGCCCAATTAGGTTCCATTTTCTTGCAATTAGGTCCTAAGGTGGGTGTATTTTGAGTCATCATTTGGCCTTTCATTGTTTTTGAGACTTTGAAGCTCTTAAATTTTTCAATTGGTTTTATTTGGTTGATTAATGGTTGCTATCGAGTTTTCAAAGTGCATGTTTAAATCATTCATGGACCCTTGTTCATTCTTGGACCTTCGAATTTCCATAAATGTTTGCTTGGATCTTGTTATTTGCTTGGGGAACTTTTTGTGTTTTTAAATGTTTCAATTAGGTTCAAATGATTGAGTAGTGCTTGCTTTTGGTCTTTAGTAGATGTTATGCTTGGGGATTGGATGATCATGCCTTGGCCTTGGTCTTTATGTAGTTTTGACTTCATTGAGTTGCAATTGAGGGAAAGTTTGATGTTTTGATGGGTTCAAATTGTTTAATTTATATCTTATCACTAAATTGGTGCATTAATCTTTTGTTTTTGGTGATTTTAGCCTAAGTTAGTCTTTTCTTGGATGATTCTAGCCAAGTTGAGTTTATTCATTTCGTTAATATCACCAACGGGGGGAAGGTATCATTTCTTTTATCCCTTTTTGTTTCTCTCCTATGTGACTAATGTGCTAATTGAAATTTGCATGTCTACTTGCTTTCCTAGCCTCTCCTTATTTCCTTTCATTTATTCATTTATTTTTTATTTTTATTAATGGGGTATGTGTACACCTCTTGGCTTGTAATAGATAGGGCGTAGTATAGTAATTTGGTCCATTTTCCCTTTCCCTTTTGTTTTAGTTAGCAAATGTAATGGTTGCATGCCTATGTGTTATATGTTAAATGCTTTATTAGGATTTTGCATCTAGTCAAGCATGCTAAGTGTTATGTGCTACATGTTTATAAGTGATTCGCATGCCTACTCGCTCTTTATAGTGTGGATGTATGAAATGGATGAATGTACGTCACCACACTAGTCCAACGCTAGTTGTGGCTTCTTTTATCGTTTCCACTAGTCTAACGCTAGTCGGATGTCATAGAAAGGGCTAGTCCAATGCTAGGCCAATAGGTTCTTTTTCCCTTTTTTTTTCTTTCATTAAGTGCATGATCACCACATATCACGCATTTTTCCTTAGTTTATCACTTGGTATGTTCCTCAAACCCCTTCCCCTTCACTTTAGGACTTGCATCTCATGTAGTTAGGGTTCATTTGCGTGAAAATCCCCTCCTGATAAGGGAAACGAGCGAGTGTGGCTACTCGATAGCCTTAGCACGCTAGTTTTACCTTCTAATCCGAGGGAAAATTAAAATCATAAAACTAGAGGTCATCCCCGTACCCGACTTGATGCATTCCTCTAAGTTCATACATTTTCATTTTCTCATTATTCTCCTCATTAAATTTTTTAATCCATATACCATATTCACACACCTATTCACTTCTTTATTTTTCACCTCACACATTGCACCTGTCTTTTTACTTATATATACTTACTATTTTTGTTCACTTACACACGAGCACTTATATTTTCATTTATTTGCACACAAACACTTTCAAATTGCACACATGCCCTTCTCTACACTTTGCACACTTACACTCTTATTTGAGTCCTCATTTGCATCATTCACGATTTTCTATGAGGTCTTTCTTATTGGCCTTCACAATTCATGTGAATGGGACCACAAGCCTCATAAAAGACATTTCTTAGATCTAGGATTGCATTTCTCATTCATTAGTCTTTGTCCAAATTGCAAATACATACTTTGGGTAGAAAAATTAGGAAAATAAGGGTTAAATCACGCAACTAGCCTTGGCTAGGTCGAAGGGGTGCCTTGGATTTTTATCCTTGCCTTCCCTTCGTCAAATGTGACTCCCGAACCTTTTTCATTGGTTTACGTGGACTAGGAGTCGTTTAAAAGGGGTTTCCTTATAACTTTTTCCTAAAAAATTCATTTTTAGGTGACTTGGTACACCTTAACTCATTACCAAGTGGCGACTCCCATTTTTTTCAAAAACCCTTTTTAAACTATAATTTTGGGTCAAATCGTCGCATTTTTAAACCCCCATTTAGACCCATTTTTCTTTTTAAATCACGATTCATTTTCCAATCAAAAAAAATACATCTTTCTCAAACGATTTATTTATTTTATCAAAAATGGGGCGCGCACACTACTTTTATGTGGGCTAAAGTATGCTTAAGTGTAAGTGATTAAGATGAGAAAGTGATTAGTGAAATAATTAAGCGTGATTATATGTTTTAGATTAGATTAAGTTATGACTTATGGAGTAAATTGAAAGGTTATCATATGTGTGAGGGAAATTGTGTAAGAAAGAGAAAGTTAAAGTGCAAGGGTTTAAACAACAAATAAAGCATTTTTGTGATTGGTTAGCTATAAGAAATATCTCCCAAAGCTTTGACTATATGTTGTCTTACAACTTATAAGAAACAAGACAAAACAAAACAAAAACAAAACAAAAATTGAAGAGAAATTTGAGAGAGAGGGCCGGCCACCTTGAAGAAGAGAAAGTGAGAAATTTCTTCAAAAATCTTCAAGTTTTAGCTTCCATCTTGGGTTTGAATCTTGGAGCAACAACTTGGGTGCTTGATTAGTGAAGGTTAATCATCTACAAAGCTTAATTGAAGGTATGCCTCTTACTTGAAAGTTAAACTTTTGGGGTTTTAGTTTCTAAGCTATGGAAATGATGTATTATGTTATGATTATGGATTTATTTGATGGATTTGATGTGTATAGTGTAGTTTCATGGTTAATTTTAGTGTTATTTGGTTGCTGAAAATTCGGCCAAGAAGAGGAAAAAATTTGGGTTTCTTGCTAATGCTTTCCTTACTTGTTTTAGTTGAGAAATGGACTTGTAGTGGTTGTGTTTGATAAATTGCCTCACTTGATTGGTTGGTTTTTAGCAAAATTCTGATTAGGGTTAAGAAACCCTAGACTCCATGAGGTTAGTTTAGTTGAACTTATGGCTATAGAGTTAGGGTTTGGTTAGTTGGATGTTAGGGTAAGTTGATGGGTGCATATGAAGTTAGGTTAGGTGTTATGGTTAGTATTTGGTATTTTGGTATTGACTTGGGAGGGGAATTTCGGACCATTTGTAGGCCATTTAGATGTTAGTATATGTGTGTTTATTTGGTACAAAAGTGGTTGAAAAACCTGCATAAGAACCATGAAAACGAACCATATGTTTGCGACATTTGAAACCGGCAAAATGGGTAAACAGGGCAACCCAGAAACTGAACTTCGGCTTCATTTTTCTTAATGCTATGTACGGATTTAGGAATTCCTCAAAACATGAAAGTCGTAGCCCCTTGAGTCCTTAGTATGCCTGCAAAATTTCAGGTCCATCGGATTAGTGTAGCCTGAGTTATCGACGAAATGCTCAAGCCTGTTTTGACCCTTTGATTCTGCGCGTTTTTCTAGTTTAGCTTCTGCCGTGATTTTTCGGTTTTGATCCCATTCGATCTGGGTGTCTACTCCTTCATAAGAAATTTAGATCTTGGTCTCAGCTTCGAAATGGTATAAAGTACGTCGAAAACCGAGTTCCGTAGCTCCGGTTATGATCGAAACAATATCGATCATCAGAACTGCCCGGTATTTGGACAGTTCTGACGGGTACTTTGGCACTCGAATTTTGTTTTGTTCTGAATAGATTCAGGTCTTGGCCAAAACATGAAAGTTTTAGCCTTATGTCTCAGCTTTCTAATGCCTTTGGAATTTCTTAATTTCGATTTCTGAGCCGTGAGTTACGGCCTTGCAAACAGGGCCTGTTTGGTAACTCGCAATGAAACAGCTGGAACTGTTTCACGCAATTTTCACCTATACCCATTGAGATCTGGGTTGCGATGTCTTCATGAACATTGTAGCCTTCCTCTTAGCTTCGTAACGGTACCTCATGTACCTTGATCCGATATTCCTAGCCTAATTTTTGACCAAAACGGTTTGAGATGGCCGACTTGGCCATTTCCGTTTGCCGTTCCGCGCGGACGTGTGCGGCCGTTTTGCCATTCCCGCACTTGCGCGTGCCAATTTTGCCGTTTTGCTTGTTTTAAGTACGTTAGTTGCCGTTTATGATATATTGTGACATAATCTTCGATTTCAGACAGTGGTGAGCTAGGCGGTGCGGTGGGGCCCACTACTAGCCAACACACAAAGTGAATTCCGCCTTTATACTACTTTTGGTATTTTGAGTAAGTATTCAGGCCGCTCTTATGTGTTAGTTGTTTATGTGTTTCGTTATGCGTAAAAAGGGTACCTAGGCGAGAGTGTACTTTATCGCGCTCGACCTAAACCCTAATTTGCGCGCTTATTTGTACATGACATATGTATATGAGAAATTTTGGAACTAAAACCCTTGAGCTTGTGGCTCGGGGTGACTTTTGAACAATTTTGTGAATTTTGTGAGTTTGAGGTTGAACTCAATACCTAGATGGACTATTCGAGCCGGTTAGGGCTTGGTCGAAGTCAGTCCAACCTGGATTGAGGTCACCAAGTTTGTGACCCGAGCTTATGATTAAAGCTCAAGTTTGTGATTTCGTTCGCCTGGGCAAGTTTGTGAGGTGACTGGCCAGTGAGGGTGATAAGGTGTCGGTGGGTGTACAAGTGAAGTTCTACGGACCTTATTTATGGTCGACGGAGTGTCGACAGGAGATCAAGCATGGCAAATGAATTGGCTTTGGAGCCACCCGTATCCTTATTATGTGATGTTACTTTTCTGCTTTTGCTTTACTCTTACTGTGTAAATGTTGCTACGTGAAATTTACGCTTTTGCCCCTGTTTACTTACTAAGCTTTTAGCTTACCCCATTCCGTTTGTTTTCCTTAGCAGGGGCCGACGCGGGTACGTTTGGGGCTCATACACTAGTTTAGTAGATTGGCTTGTAATAGTTGAACTTTTAGGATGTTTGTTTTATTCTGGTGGTTTGTATTAGGACCCTTCTTAGGGTCTCCCTTTTGGTTTTGGTTGTAATTATACGGATGTAATAGTAAGAGCAGGTACTTTTGGAGAATGTAATTATAACTCTTTTGGGATTGTATATAGTATGTATAGTACTCTTTTGGATTTTCTGGCTTTTATTGCTTTAAGTTTTGAGTCCTGGCGCGAGCTAGGCAGGCGGCCCGCCGATACCCTTGGGTTCGCCCTTGGGAGAAGTGGGGTCGTCACAACGAAAGCCAATTCACCCGCCTATCCGAATTTACCCTCGAGCAAATCATGACCGAGCAACGACGATAAGGCGCTTTGTCCAAGGTCTGAATGTGGAAATTCAGAAGGATCTCGCGGTGGGCCAAATTAATGGTTTTAGTGAGGCCGTGGAGAAAGCTCAACGGTAGAAAGCGCCAGATTTCAAGTGAGGAACTTTCAAGCGAAAAAGCGAGGGTTTCCGAGTAGTAGCTCAGGGCAGGGGGATAAGAGTACTTTTCCCAAGTTTGGATGGGGAGTCGGAGATAGAAGGCAGCCAGGAGTATCGAGAGAGGCTCAGTTCAGGGGTGACCAAGTTAGGCGAGGCCAAAGAGAAAATTCCCAGGGGGACTCAGCTTTGACCTCTCGCTGTCCCTGCGGGCATTGTGGGAAGCCAAACCACACGGAGGATAACTGTTGGAGGAAGAAATGAAAATGCTTACGCTGTGGGAGTGTCGACCACCAACTTGCCACAGGCCCCGTTTTAAAATGAGATGGAAAGGGGAGTCAACAGCCGCCAAAGACCAATTTTGGACCAGTTAAGGGAGACGGGATGAAACCCAAGGTAGCGGCTCAAGTGTATTCGCTAGAGCCACAACAGGTCCCTGATTCTTCTAAAATTGTGGAAGGTACGATTCTTGTCTTCCACCAATTTGGAAAGGTCTTAGTAGATCCCGGTGCCATCCATTCCTTTGTTAACCCCAATTTCATGTGTGGTATTGATATAAAACCTGCTAGTTTACCTTATGACCTAGAAGTTAGTACGCCCAGGGAATCATCGTTTGGTCACTAGTATGGTTTATAAGGATTGTGAAGTTTGGGTAGGAGAGAGGAAATTATTGGGGGATTTGATAAGCCTGTCCATTAAGGGGTACGATGTAATCTTAGATATGGACTGGTTAGCCAGGTATAACGCCCAACTTGATTGTAAAGAAAGGTGGTAGAATTTCGCATTCCTGGGGAGGCAACCTTAAGGTTAGATATAAGGGGTAGGTCAGCCTCATCTGCCTTAATCTCGGGCATTCGGGTTAGAAAATTGCTAAGTAGAGGGGCACAAGGGTTCTTAGCCTTTCTAATCAATTCCCCAACCGAAAATTGAAGGTAGATGATGTGTACATAGTAAGGGAATATCCATATGTATTTCCTGATGAGTTAGTAGCCCTACCTCCGGAGAGAGAGATAGAATTCAAAACTGACCTGTTACCGGAAACGTCGCCTATCTCAAAAATCCCGTATCGGATGGTCCCTGCGGAACTTAGAGAGCTAAAGTTGCAGTTAGAGGATCTTTTGGAATGGGGATTCATTCAAGAGAGTAGGTCTCCTTGGGGAGCCCCTGTATTGTTTGTAAAGAAGAAGGATGGGAGTTTACGAATATGTATAGACTATCGGGGGCTGAATAATATGACGGTTAAAAATAAATATCCACTGCCCCATATTGATGAGTTGTTCGACCAGTTGTAAGGAGCAGTGGTCTTTTCAAAATTGGATCTTCGCCAGGGGTATTACCAGTTGTTGATTAGGAAGGAGGATATTCCGAAAACTGCTTTCAATTCGAGATATGGCTACTATGAATTTGCAGTCATGCCCTTTGGACTGACCAATGCCCCTGCCGCCTTCATGGATGTAATGCATAGGATTTTTAAGCCCTACCTGGATTGGTTTGTGTGGGATGCCAAATGCGAAACGAGTTTTCGAGAGCTAAAGAAAAGATTAACCATGGCGCCAGTTCTAGTCTTGCCTAACGGAGTAGACGGGTTTACCGTTTATACCGACGAGTCGCGGGAAGGTCTGGGGTGTGTGCTGATGCAAAACCGGAATGTGATATCTTTTGCCTCTAGGAAGTTGAAACCCCACGAGCAGAACTACCCAACCCACGATCTTGAGTTAGCCGCCGCGGTAGTTTTCGCTCTGAAAAAGTGGAGGCACTATCTATACGGGTAACTTTCGAGGTGTACTCAGACTATAAGAGCCTTAGATACCTCTTCTCGCAGAAGGAATTGAACATGAGGCAACGACGGTGGATGAAATTTCTGGAGGACTACGACTGCACCATCAACTATCATTCAGGGAAAGCCAGCGTGGTGGCCGATGCCTTAAGTCGAAAGAGTCAGGTAGCGGGGTTAATGATTAAGGAGTGGGATCTGTTAGAATCCATTTGTGAGTGGAAACCCTGCCTTGGGAGTCATAAGGAGGTTTTGGTAATATTAAGATAACCTCCACCCTACTGGAACAAATTAAGGAAGCGCAAAAGGAAGATTCTATGGTATGGAAGTGGGGAGAGAAGGTGGAAAAAGGGGAATTGACCGACTTCAACTTTAGTCCCGAGAGTGTTTTGAAATACCAAAACCAAGTGTTGGTGCCTTGAGATGAAACGTTAAAGACGAAAATCTTAGAGAAGTCTCATCGGTCCAAGTATACATCCATTCGGGTAGTAGTAAGATGTATCAGGACCTAAAAGGAGCTTATTAGTGGGACAACATGAAGAAGGAATTTGCTCTATATGTGCAAAAATGTCTCGTTTGCCAACAAATTAAGGTAGAGCATGAAAAACCATCTGGCTTGTTACAACCTCTTGAGATACCGAGTGGAAGTGGGAAAACATCACAATGGACTTCGTTTCAGGTTTGCTGCGAACACAATGGGGACATTATGCCATTTGGGTGATCGTCGACCGGTTAACCAAATCAGCCCATTTTTTACCGGTAAGCATGAAGTATTCCATGGATAAATTGACTCAGGTATACATGGACGAGATCGTAAGACTACAAGAAGTTTCTGTGAGCATTGTTTCAGATAGAGATTCCCCGTTTCGTATCTAGGTTTTGGCAAAAATTTCAAGAGACCTTGGGAACTAATCTAAACCTAACCACCACTTATCACCCTCAGACGGATGGACAGTCGGAGCGAACAATTCAAACTCTCGAGAATATGTTAAGGACCTGTATTCTAAATTTTGGAGGTAATTGGGGTCAACATATGACCTTAGTGGAGTTTGCTTACAATAACAGCTACCATTCGTCGATTTAAATGGCACTATACGAAGCGCTGTACGGGAGGAAATGCCGGTTACCGATCTACTGGGACGAAGTCAGCGAGACGAAGGTGTTAGATCCAACAACTATTCCATGGATGGAGGAGACACGAGAAAAAGTCAAGTTGATACGACAAAGACTCCAAACAGCTCAAAGCCGACAAAAGAGCTATGCGGACAATCGAAGAAAAGACTTGGAGTTTGAAGTTGGGGATCGTGTTTTCCTCAAGGTCACACCGTTACGGAGCATCATGGCGGGTAGAGGAAAGAAACTTCAACTAAGGTTCGTCGCGACCTTTCAAGATTCTCCAAAGAGTTGGTAAAGTAGCGTATCGACTTGAACTACCATCAAGTCTATCCAGAATTCATGATGTCTTCCACGTCTCGATGCTTAAGAAGTATTATCCTGACCTATCTCACATCTTACAACTGGAGGAAATTGAAATAGATGAATCCCTCACCTACGAAGAAAAACATGTACAGTTGCTTGACGAAAAGTTAAGGAGCTGAGAAACAAACAGATTCCTTTGGTGAAGATCTTGTGGAAAAATCATGGAGTAGAGAAAGCTACTTGGGAGGTGGAAGAAGAGATGCAAAAGAAATACCCTGAACTGTTCATGAATCAAGGTGAGAAAATTTCGAGGGCGAAATTCTTTTAAGGGGGAGAGAGTGTGAGAACCCGTAAATTTTCTTATTTTCTAGACTTTATTTTATTTAATCGCACGCTTTTCCATATTTTCTTTATTAGGAAAATTTTCTAAATAATTCTTATGAGTAAATATGGTTTTTAAATCATTTTCTAGCATAAGTTAGTTCATGTGATTTTAGGAGTGTATACTGGCATGGGACCCGCTAGTGCGGTAAGTTCGATAAAATTCGATCAATTAGCTTAAGTTTTGTATACAGGGATTAATTTACTAGGTGTTAAGCGATAATAGAGGTTACCAAATGGATTAGTGTTGGAGAGATAAA